TATGACACCTTAGGTCACATGAGGTCAGATCGGTCACGTGATCTCACCGCTACGGGGAAATATGGAAACTGTTACTTTGGCGCCGGGCATGATCTAAAACTAGCTCGAGCACGCGAAATCGTGATTTCATCCACTCATTGCAAGGTCCGATGCTTCATTTTCATTGCTGACCTTGCGTGACGTTACTTATGACGTAACTAGGGGCATAAGAGTTTTTTATCAAATAACTCCCGAACAAATTGGGCTAGCGGGTCGGTAGAGCCACCATTTGACTCGACAAGACCTGATGAACCGGATAATATGCTAAATGACCACTTTCGACCAACTTCGTGACCTTTGCGGCTCTGAACTCTGAAGTGACCTTGACCAGAGGTTAACACATCAAGAACAAAAGTACAAAAGTAAAAAAAAAACTTAGCGGAATAAAAGTATATTATTCGACGCGCCTGAGCTGGAAAAAACACGACGATGCCAAACTCGCGGCTCTGCGACCATTTTTGGCCGAGGTTAGTTACCAAAAATTGAGCCCGTTCCTGCTGCCACTTAACCTGACCTCAGAGGTTACCAGTTGACCAGAGCCCTTCAATCGGGTACCAATCGCTGCCTCTCGTAATGGCGCACATGCTCATTTTTTTCAGTGAGGCTTTAGCTTCATTAGGCGCGAAACGGCGAGGGGCTCGTAAAAGTCGTACCCCTTTTCCCTTCCGTCCGGGCGTATGTAGAAAACCAATAGGTCCGTCGAGGGTTAAGGGAGCGTTTTGTACGGTTTTTCAATACATGCATACAAGCAACGTTATTCTGGTTTTGGCCGTTTTCAAAAATGGGAAATGCGTGTAATAGCCGTTTTCACGATGGGCTACCTGGCGAACTCATCAAACTTGACCAACTCTGCACCGAAGAAATCTCTTCAAATAGTTTATTCAGCATTAAAACCTCTGATCATTTGAAGAAAAAAAAAACAGGCATATTAGCAACTGTGTAACCCAAACTGATAACTGTTAAGAAATATAATGAACCAAATTGAATCTCAACACGCGGCTTAATGCGCTGCGTGTTGGAAGCAGAAAATATGTCCTGCATTCCAATGGGAAGTGCGGAGACACGTTTTGCACGCTTAAGCGCTGTGTTCCGCCATTTAGTGAAAAGCGCACGTGAACCATCAATACCTTTAACACTAGTCAGCCAAAAATATCAGCTTACTCTTGATTTTACTGTTTGACGTTCTGTTCAATCCTACCCCTCATCTTGTGACTTATTCATTTGTGCGCTTGAAGTGATCCGCCATCGTTCACCCGCGCCGGGCCGGTGCTCCGCGACTTCCACGCCGGGCCGGGGGGAGGGGGTGTCTGAACACCCCCCCCCCCCCCCGTCTAACTCAGCTCCTGGGCCACGTAGCGACACGCGGTAAGCGGCATTCGAAAGAGCGTCAAAAATAAGGACGAAAACACTTCAGTCATTTTTTTAATCAGGTCAAAGGTCAGGTCGCCAGAGGCCCAGAGCCCAGAGGTCAACAAAGGTCAAATGTAGTCCATTTTAACAATTTTGGAAACTGCCAACGGCTAACTCGGGAACCAATAGAGCTACAGCGCCGCGGGAAAGCGCATTCGATAGCCCTTTCACAGACCGTTCTGGGTAATGTTCTCAGATTTGACCTCAGGTCAACGGTTTAACCTCCAGAGGGCAAAAACTGTAAAAATAGCAGTTTTCACGAAAATGGTTTTTCGCCAATAGCAATTGACTCGAGAGAGCCGCAGCATCGTGTTTCTCTCGTCGAGACGCGTTGAATTTACTATTTGTTGACCTTGAAAGGTTATTTTGAAAATTTGACCTCAGGTCAAGGTCATGACCTGACCGGAAAGGGTCATGTTGCATATCAGCCGATCCGTATCGTCGAGCTGAATACATCTGACGTGTTTTTATCGCTCTAGCACGTCTTTATCAAAAGTTATAGCCAAAAAACTGCTGGTGACTGTTTATGACCGGAGATGACCTCAGGGGCACACAGAGGGGTCACAACTAAGTGCATTTTTCCGATTCAGTGTGTCATGTTTACCTATGAACCGATGTTTGTGAGGGTTTTGAACATCATTCGTCCAAAAGAGGCACATTTCAATTTTCTCCCATTGACTTATAATGGAGAGGTCGCAAAATTGACCTGACCTTAGGTCACAGATATCGAAATTCCGAGATAAACATTCTGTACATACTTTTACTCTTATCAATCGCTGAAAGTTTCAAGGCGATCGTTCAGTCGCTGTAGCTATGACGAGGATTGAAACTTTTTCTGAGGTGAGGTCACTTGACCTGACCTGGTGACCGATCCTGAGAGCCCTGGGTCTGAAATTTTCACAACATGTGTGGAAAAGATGAATGAACAGATGTGCCAAAAACGAGCTCCGCCCTTTTTGAGATATCTGCGAAAAACCGCAGGGGGTGTTCAAACACCTCGCCCCCCGGCCCGGCGCGGGTTAAATAAACAGACGTAATCTTGTAACGCTCGCTCAATTTCATTACAACACGCTCGTGTCAATAATGTACAGGCTCTCCGAAATTCGATGATTTCGAATCCCCAGTGAACTCACCGCAAAGTATGCATTAATTACATATGACGGCTTTATGTCCTATTAGGATGTGCATTTTTTGGCGGACCCCCATTCCGAAAACGTAGCTGAACCCCCGTCCCCCGCATACAAAGGCATTTAGGAATTGCATAGTTGGCTCCCACCGCCCCATCGTGCACTATCAGTTCAGCTATGTCATTTTGCGAGGATCAGTTTCATAATAACATCTTGGTTCGCTTGTCGTTTCTGGGAATGGGGGGACCGGACCGCCCACCGTCATCAGGAGCCAATCATGGCGGGTACCTCTGTGACGTCATCTCCTCCGGGGTAGCCTCTGGGCCGATGACACGGGAACTATTACTACCTTTCCATTTCAAGGTGGACGCTGAGAGGTAAATGAAGTTGTAAATTAACGTGTTTCTAGTGGTAAACGAATGGATATGAGCTAAGGACAGCAAACGGCTCATCCGATATCTTTCAACCGTCCATGGAAGTGCGCAAGTTCTACGGAGCATCCAGTCAACGTAAGTACCAGTGGAAAGTGCATCTGCTAACTATTTGAAGTAATTGGTGAATTTTGCTATTGACATGAATTTTAATCATCGAAGGAGGCATAATTCGTGAAGATAATTAATTATTAATTGACAGTAATATGTACATCCCTCGTCTCATGCGCATGTTCGGAGTTTTTTTCGACAAAACATATTGATTGCCTTGGACAAAACCAAAATTATCTCAAAGGCTATGACCTACCGGTCACTCGGAAATCATAATACCAAGGCGCGTACAGCGCCACACCATGGACTGGACCCATCATTGCATATATTTTCCACCAGATTGACAACAATACACTTAAGTTTATATTTGCTCCCAAAACAAACTTGCTTATTGTTGCCACACTTGACGTGCCATTTGTTTAGTGACGGACCCAATCGAAAGAGTGGAACATCGCTCGTCTCTGATATTACATATTTTCGATTGGCTGATAACATAGCCCTCGAGATATACTCAGTTTTGTCGAATAAAAACACCCACCACGCAGTAGGACGAGGGCTGTTAGTAGGTATGTCGTGCACCTTATGTCTTTACTGTTTATTGCAAAAGTGTGACTTCTCGCTAACTCTTTTGAATAACGATTTATCCTATTGTTTTGTTTAACTACAATAATTCTAAAATTTCATTTTTGGACACATGAATTGCATGTTCACAAACTATGCGCTGGACAATTCAAAATACCAACATTTTCAATAGCATTTTCAAACACATGGTGGTTCTCGCATCGATGGGTAAAATACACGACTGGGTGCGGAATTCGTTAACACATTTGCCAAATACTTATGTACTCTTGCTTCATACATGACATTGCCCTTGAATCGCAAGAAGAAAATGCTAATGAACATGTTTCTGAACTCTATGAATGCACGCTTGGTTCCATCAAGAAACTAATCAACGAATAATTTTACAGTAATGCTACTGAAAATCATGTAGTGTAATGTAAATCATGTATTTCAGCGTGCATCAAGGCATGAAAATAAATATGCAATTGCATGTATAACAGCGAATTGTATTACATCTGAATATTGGCTTATTGCGTGTTAACGATTTATGTCCGTCAGTGGGCTATAAATACCTTGGTCAAAAGCTATTGATCCACCAACGTCAAGCTGCATTTACGGATTTACACGGTTGATATTTTGACTTATAACTATCATCTAATGACCGTCATTGTTTCATTTCGCCAGGGTTCGTGCCTCAGGCAATAGCTGCGGGCACCGATGTCTGCAATCACCACTGCCGCGACTTCCATCGCCGGCAACTTCAGCAGATTATTCGAGAGAAGTTAAGAAGTTTCAAAGAGGAGCAATTCAATGTTCAGTTCGAGGTGGTCTTCTTCCATGCTTCCTGCATCGATGGCCTCATGCGGCGCATGAAAAAGGAAAAGTACGGCTGGCACAAATCTGACGAGGAACGTCTCGTTCCCTATCTTGGTACAGGCTGGTTCGAGCAGCACATAAACCAGAAAGATTACAATCGTGTTGCCCATGGCACATTCCAGGTGAAACCCCGTGTGTGGGGACAGCTAATGAAACTGCGAGTCAGGTTCACCAGAGAGAAATGTGTTCGTGGAGCATCTGAGACAGGTTGAACGGGGAGTTTTCGTTGGAGTTGTGTGAGGCGATTTTAGGTAAATGGTTGGTCAAAAATTGTTATGTTGGCGCAGTAGTTTTCTGGATGTTTTGCGTTGAATTAAGTGTTTGTGCATGTCGTGTGATTTGCATATATGTACATACCCGTGACATTGTAACTGGCCATTGTTAGGTATACATATTAGAAGCCACCATGCATTTCAATATATCATTTCATGATGTAGTCTCAAAAAACTGTGATGAACTAGTTAGCATGATAGAAAAACAGCATAATGTAAAACTGAAGCCGACAAAGACGGAGATCGAATCACTTTCTGCTTATCGGCGAAAACGTTTGTGGTCGTGGAAAAAGTGCGGTGGCTGGAAACGTTCTCAAATGGTGGAAAATACCCCTGATTTCTCGTGGAGTGTGAGTAACGTAGTACACTTTTGGAACAACGTGCTGATCGAAAACCGCCATTTGCAGAAACGTGTTGCAAAATTGAAAACTGAGAAGCGCGTGCTTCAGAACCGACTGAACGCCACTAAAGTCAGGTCAGAGTCTGTTGGCAAAAGAGGAGAGAGAAAGCGTCTAAAAAAGGCTAGCTTGACCAAGCCAAGCAATTCTGAATCCCCAACAAAAGTTTTACGTCATGTCGTCAAATCTGGCGTATCATTTCATCAGTACGGCAATTTACGTTGTCATGGTATGCCCGGGCGCACAAAATTGATCAAACGAGACAAAGAATTACGGGCTGACGCCGAACGTCAAGGGCATCTTCACGATCGAAGTGCAAACTCCTCCCAGATACCTTTGCTCACAGCATGCAAGCGTATACTGGGTGGAACCCGTGGAGCCGGAGAGAACGCTCCCGGAAAACTTTGGTTCAAGATAAGTGGAGATGGCACTCAATGCCGGAAAGTTGGCTTTGTTAACCTGACTGTTGAGCTTATCCGTCCCCTTCCAGCCAAACGCTCAGCCACTGTTTTAGCCTGCGTCAAGGGAGCTGAGGACGCCGAGACCCCAGACCTGGTGGCTGCCCTGAGGCAGATTGATGCTGAGATGCAGGCTATTAAGGACATCAACGGTGTACCCGTTCAGTTTTATCTCGGCGCCGACCTGAAATTTATATGGATGGTGTTGGGCCTGGCAGGCGGTTTGAGCGACTTTCCCTGTCCATACTGTACCGTTCATCGAACCAAAAAACATCTGGAAAGAGGAGAGGAGCGCTCGATTGACACCATGGCTGCTCTGGGCAGTCAGAGCAAAATGTCCAGGAAAAAGGCATCCTACCGCCAAGGCATGAAGGGACCGCCCTTGCTGACGCAGATCCCTATCCGTCGCGTTATTGCTGATGAGATGCACTTGATTCTGAGAGTTTTCGATCGCTTGTTTTTGAAAATTAAGGTTCAGCTTGCCAAAGAAGGGCGTTTGGCAGATCTTGAAACCAAGATGGAAGTCATTCTGAAGCGCAAGGTCAAAATTACAGAAAATATGCTTGTTTCCACGAGACTAAACCTGAAGGACCGCGAACTGCTCTTGGACCAGCTTAACATGGGACTGCCAGTTGAGGAATGTGGGAGGCAGTTCATGCGACTTATCCGCTCTGTTCGTGAAATGTGTCGCACAGGCGAGGCCGACAGAGCAACGCTGCAGCGTTTGTGTGACGATTGGCGGGTCCATTTTTTGTCTGTGTGTCAGGATAGCGATTTTACTCCGTATATGCATATTATGTGTTTTCACCTACCCGACCTCGTGTGTGACACTGATGCATTTTTTCATCATTTCAATCAGCAGCTGGTGGAAAAAGCGAACATGCAGCTACGGAAAGATGCTGAAAGATACAAATATTCACCACATAGTTTGATGCTGCAGAGTGTTAAACGTCATATGCTGTCCTAGGAATGTTAGGAGGCAGTTCATGCGACTTATCCGCTCTGTTCGTGAAATGTGTCGCACAGGCGAGGCCGACAGAGCAACGCTGCAGCGTTTGTGTGACGATTGGCGGGTCCATTTTTTGTATGTGTGTCAGGATAGCGATTTTACCCCGTACATGCATGTTATGTGTCTTTACCTACCCGACCTCATGTGTGACAATGTTAAACGTCCTGTGCAGTCCTAGGAATGTTAGGAGGCCAATACACGAAAGAGGTTGCAATATGTGTTTCCGTTCCATGATTATTCCAACGTGCTTAATTTTATCATAGTGGCCATCCTCTAGCTATGCCAGGAGTCAAAGAGGCTATTCCTGGCACTGAGTCAATAAAACATGGCGATGAAGTGGGTACAAGAGTCACCGATCACTGTTCGTTCCAATCAGTGATGAACGTCCCCACAACCAAACGTCAGTCGACGTTTCGACAAATGCTACTAACTGCAAGAGTTGCAGACCAAATACTGGAGATGTCAATCGGTAGCAATCTTTTCAGATGCCAAAGGATCAATCTGGTAATAACTTGGTACATTTTGTATTTCGAACCTACGAGTATGCATATTGCTTGCTTAATTGTTTTTACAATGCTACGCCAAGGGCATGTAAACCTTAGTTGTTGCACTAAGAAAATAAAATTCGGAGAAAGGCACGTTGACGGTTTTTAGAAGCCAGTTTAGAAGACAGTTTCTTACAGATCTATCGCTTAGAACAGTCAACATTTTTTAAACCCTGGTACAGTTTCTAGGAAAATTTTCTTTTGACGTAACTACCTTTTCTCACTTGTTTCATAAAAAAATGCTAAGTCGTTAACAGTATAACTAAAATACCCACCAATTGTATCCACTTATTCAGAATCCCACTGATGTCCAGCTCCTCGTCAAAGAGGTTCAGTGGGATCCAGTGGGATCATCAGTTTAAGAAACTGGTGCACCAGCTGAGTAACAATCGTGCCGTGGTTTTTTTTTTACGCCATGCGCAACAAGTCATGCTTAATCCTCTCCCGTATTGGTGTTTTACCAGCCGCGAACGTATATGGTCCGTTGGACCCTTGCCGTTTGTCCCTTGATCGAGCTAGAGCTTCGCGGATGAAACGGGCGTGCTGCCCGTGACGAGAGGAAGCCGATGATACCTAGTTTTAAGGTCCCAGGCCATTGGCTGACCTTCCAGGTCAGGTCAATGACCCAAAGGTCGGGAATATCATACCTTGTTAGAACTTCGTAAAGTGAGGTTGTGATAGGTTTTTTCCGGGATGCTTACCACGATGTCATGTTAATTTTGGATCACATATCATGCCCCCATGCCATTAGATCAGGTAGGGTCAGGTCGGGTCAGGTCAGGCTACCAACCAGTGGACAAGTCCTGTCGGGTATTGATAGTAGGTATCAACCACCACTGACAGCTTCGTAACATGTTACAAAAGCACCATAACTTCTAAGTAAATGTTCAGATGGGTTATGAATTCGATATTAGCTTCAAAAACTTCCCTAAAAACATGTAGCAGGACAAGTCCTGTCGGGTATTGATAGTAGGTATCAACCACCACTGACAGCTTCGTAACATGTTACAAAAGTACCATAACTTCTAAGTAAATGTTCAGATGGGTGATGAATTCGATATTAGCCTCAAAAACTTCCCTAAAAACATGTAGCACTCGCAAAAGTGAACCAAGGTCATCAAAGGTCAATGACTTTGATCTGACATTCACTTGACCTTGATGCCCACTATAATGCATGGAACCAACATTTCACATGTCTGAGCCTTTACAACTTCAAACAGAGTGGAAACACGCAGATAATGCTAACCGATATATGTACAGTCACCAGCACTTGCTACTAATCACCTCGTTTTTGCTCAGTAGTTTGAAGACCGATCAATTCTCAGTCGAGCAAGATACGTCAAACGATCGGTTTGGTCCTCCGATTTTCGAATATCTAATTTGTTTTTGTATGTTCGAAGCATTTTGGGATGAGGAGCCAAAAAACGTCTTTTCTGCCCTAAAGTTGCCCCAAGAAGTCGTAGAAACTAGTCCCGCCTCTGACCCACAGACCACTAGTGCCATCTCTTGTCAGCCGAACAAACCGCAGAAGTAAATAATGTCACGTGACCTTTGCACACGCTACAATTACTACGCAGTTGTAGTGGGGGAAGCGGGGCGGAGGCGTGGAGAGGGACGCGATCGGTCCGGTCGGCTGGGGTCAGGTCGCCGAAGTCGGAGGTCATCCGCCGGAGGGTGTTTGGGCGGTTGAGCCGTGTGGGCTGGGGCTTGCGGAGTGGGGAGCGTCTGGACCTGTCTGGAAACAAGTTCTACAACGCTGTGGCAGTCGAGAATATTGTGAGGAAAGCGAGGGAGAGAGAGAGAGAGAGGGAGAGAGAGAGTGGAAGAGAAAGAGGGAGATAGAGGGAGAGAGGGAGAGAGAGGGAGAGGGAAAGAGAGGGAGAGGGAGAGAGGGAGAGAGAGGGAGATGGAGAGAGGGAAAGAGAGAAAGAGAGAGAGGAGAGAGAGTGGAAGAGAAAGAGAGAGTGAGAGAGAGGGAGAGTGAGAGAGAGGGAGAGGGAGAGAGAGGGAGAGGGAGAGAGTGGGAGAGAGAGGGAGAGAGAGGAAGAGCGAGAGAAAGAGAGAGAGAGAGGAGAAAGAGAGTGGAAGAGAAAGAGGGAGATAGAGGGAGAGAGGGAGATGGAGAGAGAGGGAGAGAGAGGGGAGAGAGAGAGGGAGAGAGAGGGAGAGAGAGGGAGAGAGGGAGAGAGAGAGGGAGAGAGAGAGAAAGAGAGAGAGGAGAGAGAGTGGAAGAAAAAGAGGGAGAGAGAGGGAGAGGGAGAAGGAGAGAGAGGGAAAGGGAGAGATGGGAGAGAGGGAGAGAGAGGGGAGAGAGAGGGAGAGATAGGGGGAGAGAGAGAGAGAGAGAGAGAGAGAGAGAGAGAGAGAGAGAGAGAGAGAGAGAGAGAGAGAGAGAAGAAAGACTGGAGGGAAGGGATAAGGACGGGAGGAGAGAAAAGAGAGACAGAAAAGGAAAACCAGGAAGGGTAAAATGAGAGAGAGGGTAATGGGTAAATCAGTGAGAGGGAGCGAGAGAGAAAACATTTAGTTGTGTCAGCTTGTTTCGTATGTAAAATGTAAATTTGCTTCCCATCATTTCAGCTTCGGATTGGAAATTAAATCTTAGCGTCCTTATGATAAACCCACGCTGACGGGATGGGGGACGTTTTTATGGTCGGGGCATTCCACGTCAAATCAAACACCGAAATCCGTCATCCCCTTCGATTTTTCTGAAAATTTGTAGGCAGACTGGGCATGGTTCAAAACTGAGTTACGTATAATATTTTCGAAATTTGATAAAGTATCGCTGAGATATAGGTCATCGAATATAGCCAAAAATTCCACACATCAATTTTTTAAATGTCTATAACTCTGGTTCCTTTTCTGGTATCAAAATGATATTAACAGGGTCTTGTAGGCAATTGATAAGGCTTTGATTTTTAATTATAAAATTAAATTGAAGTGACCTTGAAATGCATTTGACCTTGAATTAAAACAGAAAAATTTAAATAGCAAAAAACACGTCACCTTCGATTCGGGTAATTTTTACATATTATGTCCGTCACAATGTTCCTAACCATCTGTGAAAAAAATTGGAGTGGGCCATTCATAACTCTCGCGGCAAACGCCGTTTTCATGCATCAACATCACGCAACCGCGCGTGACCTTGAAAGACAGAGTCAAGACATGCTTGCTTGTGTACACTTTCTGAAATGAATGATTGCTGATTAGTGATATCCCAAGCTCTGCGAGAATGGAAATACATAGTCATCGTAGTCAAGCATTCAAGTTCCATAGTAAAAGTGTCTCAGACAAACGGTATTTTGCGGTGAATTTTGAGCCGTGTGGAAATGCATCATGAAGCCAAAAATTCAACGAAAACATTATCACGCAACGTTATCTTCACGTCTTTTTATCTTCACTATACGAAAGAATATACATTTTTGAGTATGTATGGGGAATTTCTAGTTAATCCAATAACAAATATGGCAGTTAGAGACCTGCTAAGAGTAACATGTCGCCGGCTGAGGCGGGATCGGCCGACCCGGGAAACGCAGCAATCACAATTTTGTGTTTACACGTTCATATTTCAATTGTTTACCAACCGATTTTCAAAATTCTTACACCATAAGATTGCCTGTACATTTCTTAGTCTTCTCACAAAATTTGACGCGAATCGAACGAAATCAGCGGTAAGGAGCGCGATGTAAAGACGGAACCGTTCCGTTCCGTCCCGGCACAGTCTACAATTCAGGCGGCGGCTAGCGGTCGGCGCCGGCTGCCGAGTCGCCGCGTCGCCGCGGCGACAGGATGTTCACTTTACACCGCTATTACTAGACCAGTTGTGAACCGATTTTCTTCTTGCTTGCACGATGAGATGTGCAATTCAATTTTGGACAGGTAGCTATAATTAATTTCGCATTAATACTATGAGATATTGGCGAAAAACAGGAGGGGTGGGCCGTGGGGCGAAATTCGCTCTTCCCCTCCACTGCGCGTGCTAACATACGTTTGCATATGTGCCATTTTCTTCAAAACTTATGAATGGCCCACTCTAATTTTTTCACAGGTTGTTAAGAATATGGTAGGCAATAAAATATATGAAAATTAGCCAATTCGAAGGTGACTTGTTTTTTGCTATTTCAATTTTTGTGCTTAAGAACAGAGTTAAGCAAATTTCAAGGTCATATATTTAAGTAGGTGCAATTCTAAACAAATGCTTAAGAAATTACCTAAACAGTAAGGTTTATTTCATTCAAATCAAACAAGTACAACCAAAGTTATGGTCGTTCAAAAATATAAAGATGCAACATTTTGTAAAAATTCGATGCCCTATATTTAGAAGACCTGTGGTCAGAATGTGCAAAAAACATCAATGTAATGTTGGGGGCGACACAGGAACTCGCTCACAAATTTATAATGAAATCGCTGATGGTAAGGTGCAAAACAGCCGATTTTTGTTCGATTTGACGTGGAATGCCCCGGTCGTCGTTGGCAGCTCGGCACCAATGGGGATGATGTTGAGGGATTCGCAAATATTTCATAAAAGAGATGATATTTTTTTGCATCACCTATTAAACATTTTTTTTACGTCTGCTATGAAAATGTTAGGCCCAGTTCCTTCAAGATCAGGTCCACGACTCCACAGCTTACAAC